GCATTGCAGATTTTATAAAACCTTTAAATTCAAAGTTCTTCATTAATATAATATTTAATACTAGATAGATTTTTAAACATTTTATATTTATTGTAAGATGTAACAGCATCGGAATTTTATGTATAATGAACTCATCCAATCGATCATGTCATCACCACTAAAATTGCCCTGCTATTTGCGTATTCTGATGTTCCTATATTATCCAATATTATCACCAGTCACCATATTACCAGCAAAGTGTCCAAATATGTGTTTACTGTACTTAGTTGTTTGAAGTACTGTAGAGGTCATGCATCACCATGATTTTGAATCGTGCTTTTATCTGCAAATTGTTTAAAAATAACAAAATATTTAGTTAAGGCAGATCATAAGAATGAAATTTTGTAAATGATGCAGGTACAGTATAAATTTAAACAAAACAACATTTAACTCCAGCTATAAAAGTATGAACACGCTACTCAATTGACACTGCTGTTAAATGCTGGAAAGAAAGGTTGAAACTTGTCGATATATGATCTCAGCACAATGGTCGTGGGTTTGCCTTTTCACATACCCTCACAACTGCAAGGTTCAGTGTTGTATGGTGATTGACTGATCTTCAGAGACATAGCATGAACTTCAATGTTATAATTAAAAATTTACTTGATGTGTAATAATGATAATAGAGCTCTTTTTGAATGATTTCCACTGTCGTACTAAATTTCCAAAGAAAAGGGGGGGGTCTGGGGGTCCTCCCCCCCAAAAAAAAACATGTTTACATTTTTGAAGCTCCAGGACTGCATTTCTGGCGTTTTCTAAAGCAGATTCGCAAACAAATAACATTTCCACTAACAATAAACAAAATACATTTCCACTCGATTATTTCCACCTACAAGATCCTTCAACTGTACATAAACAAACTGAGCTTCCATTGCACTGTGTGAGAAATTGTGGTGGGAGACAATCCTTGAATAATAGATCTCAACAATAGCACCCATATTTGCAGTCAGAGCGATGCCAGTGACTGCAATAGTAATATAAAATAGTCCAGCCTATTTTCGGTGTTTAAAAATTGTAGTTTTATACCTGCAAGTTGATAGGGCAATTATAGTATTAAAATTCAAGATCTGTGTAAGCACGTTTGATTAATATAAACAGGAATATGAAGTAATAAAGCTAATATATATGAAGTGTGATCAAAATCTCTTTGACCAGAGCAGACATCACTGAATAGCAATGTTTTTATGAATGACAGATTCACACGTTATAATCACTTATAAACACAAAATAATTAATATTGATTAAAATAACAAAAACTAACTTACCGCTTGCTTTAAGTGAAAGTTCCTTCGAGTATTTATTTTCATCCAGCGTTGCCAACTGTGATTTTGTAAAAATCACGGACATAAAATGAATAGTCATGGCATGAACGACAGTTCCCGAAGTAAAGTCGACAATTTCCGTCACAACTCTTACACTTTTAGCGTTACATAATACACAAAAACTCATTCTGACTGATTTTTAATAATTAAAAACAGGTAAAACCCGCTGAGAGAAGCAAATTCCATAACAAAATGAGAATATTTGAATATGAATTGAGTCTGTCTTCAAATCAATTTACCCAACTGAGCTTTAGAAATTCAGGTCTCGCTTCAGAGATATTGATAATTGCTAAATCTCACGACATATTTTCCTTCGTCTTACATCTGTTCAAAATACGTCACTTACGCTAACTAACGCGTTTATGCTATAAACTATACCCGAGTCCTATACGGTACATATTATATTGTTTGGTGGGCTGTACAGTTGATTATCAGAATACAAGTATAGCTGGTATTTGCCTGGCTTCTGTCGCTTTGTGATGTTATAGATAATTGTTTATCTGTCTGCATGGTAAGTGCTTATTCGTCAAATTGTAAATCTCTAGCACAATCAGTAATAGACTGAATAAAGGTACTTGTCTGAAATTTCGGTACATTTTGATACAATTCTTGGGTTTCATATGACGTCAGAAAAGTGACGGGGGGGGGGGTAAACTCTAAATCAAAACACAGTTATCAGAGACATAGCGAGTCGATTGTTCGTTTTATGTATCAGCCTTGTGTTTGGTGGCAAGTACATGGAATCTCGTATAATTTTCTCACTCCAGTACAGCATAAGCATCAATACATTTGAGGTTGACCCCCCCCCGTCAGATCCTCTGCAAGTCTGCATAATGCCATAGGCCCGTAGTGAAACCCAAGAGTTTCGAAAAGCATTATTTATTATCGTTGAAAGATGAAACTCGAGATTCTATTGAAAGGCTTATAGGCCGTTTGCTGCGTCTCGATATCGTTCACTTTCATTAAGCATGTCTTGGAACTGAAATATTTTTACGGAAACTAACACTTTCGAACACGCTGAGTTCAAATCCGAAAACTTCCCGCGCAGTAGACCCGCAGTTTTCTCACAAACTGCTATTTTATCTTGGCTTTATATTTCACAACAAATTTTTTTATTGTTCAACGACACGGATCGATGACGACACACAGTTATATCAGTCAAAACGACCAATTTCTATTAACCAGTCTTCCTTTTAACAAAAGACCGTCTTTAAAGTTTAAATCTTCAGGAACGAAAGCGGAGCTGTTTACATATATTATACTTTATAGGGTATGAATATTTAGATTATTAACCTATAAAGTTTGCTTCAAGTTCAGAACAGCTTTTATGTAGTTGGGATATGCAAATAATGCAATACATTTTCAAGCAATGTACATTTTCAAAATATCTAAAATCAATCTGAATTATCATGTTATAGAGTAAGACGAAACCTTGATGTACTATTTAAAAAACGAGCAGGAGTGTTTTATTAGGTTTAAAGACACGAGCGCGCAGCACGAGTGGCTTTAGACCTAATAAAACACGACCTGCGAGTTTTTTAAATGGCTTCAAAAACGTATGCATAATAAGTCAAATCTTTATATAAAAATCCGGCTTTATATAAAAATCTTTATTCTTTATTGGTTCATGAATTATTAATGAGTTTTTGATAGAAAATTAAAGATTGTTGACCCAGACCCGCAAAGTTTTATACACAAATGATAAAAGCTACTTGTCATGTATGTTCACTTGAATCACTTCAACTATATATCGATAAAAATAATAGACTTATCAGTCTTTACAGTCATTGTGTACAAGATATACGCAGAGTCTAAGTTCACTTATGTACCTCTTTGCACGATCATGCACTGAGCCTGTGTAGTGCTGTCTACAGCTTGATTGGGGCCATTCTGATAATTATAGACTGATAAATTTGAGAAACAGAAAAGAAAAATGATACTTTTTAGCAACAAAATATATAAACAAACCGAGCGAACAATTTGCTAAATGTTGACAGTAAAATAATGTACAATCTAATATAGAAACAAATAAAACTTAAACTACGACGAATATGAAAACTCACTCGGCCTATAAATAGAAAAAATTTACTTCAAACTTACCACAATTAATACTGGCTTCTTTTGGTTTTAAAAAATCAAAACAAGTAGTAAACAACTCTGAGCTTTCGGGATTTTCTCCGGAACCTACGTCACAAGCCTGCTGATGTCAACCTTTTTATAAAGGTCTATTGTGCATGGATACTGTATCGTAATATTTCTCTACAATACTTGTCTTTTAAGTAGTCTGTAGAAAACCGTTAGTCATAGAGAAGTGTTTTTCTTCTTATTAGCAGATATGGGAATAGAAAATTGAAGTTTAGAAAAAAGATTGACAATGAATATTGTTATCTGAAGTACACATTGGTAACGAGGTGGGTATTCCTTATATTCCAGAATAGCGGGTGCATGGATGCATGTCTGGTACTTAACAGCACCTTGTATTGAACTGGGGCTCCTGGTTAGGTCTAATAAATGCATATAAATTTCCACTCGATAATTTCCATCCAGAAGACCCTTCAACAATTCAATCGAATGAGATGCCAACAAAATCTTCAGTTGATATTTACAAATAAATACTAACCGATTCTTGATTTTTCACCTTTAAATCTATATTATTCGTTGATTTTTCACCTTTACCTTTCTCTGATATACTGTACTGTATTTTCGATTTCGCTGAACTAAGCCTAAGGACACATGCATGCATGACCTTTCATCCGGAGTTTCAACGATTTTTCCATAAATCCAAAGCTTATGCTTTTCCTTAGGCTTCACGTAAACATGATCCTCAATTGCTAAATTCTTCATTGGACGTGACGCTTTTTGTCATACTGAATCTTTGACTGCATTCTTCTCTTCATTAAGTTCTCTCTTACAACTCTACTGTCAATTAACCGTGGTTTCAACTGTGATGGTATTACTTATAATATCATTTACTTCCGTCACATAAGTCTTTCAGCAGATGAATAAACATGTACTTGCTGTGGGGCATTGCGATATGCTAATAATGCCAAGTAGGGATCTTCATGTCCAGATCTTTTCAAGATATTCTTCGCCACTTTCACTGCAGATTTTGCTTTGTCTATCTTTGTCTATCTTTGCTATCATATGAGACATAAAACAAACTGGTTTTCTTTCCTGTATGAATACTCCCGCAATAGCTTCATCCGACGCATCTACCTGTAACGTAACTGTATGGGAGCTTAACGTCATGATAACGCAAATTTGTACTTGACGCAATCAAATTTTTCGCTGCGTTGAAAGCATTTTCTTGTGAATTTTTCCAATTGATTTTAACATTCTGTTTTATAAGGTTTCTTGACGGTAACACTGTTTCACTTAGATTTGGAAGAAATTTTGACAAATACTGACACATCCAGAGAAATCATTGTACCCCAACTTTATCAACAGGTCTCGGCATTTCACGAACTGCTCTAACCCTTCCAAGATCTGGGCCGATTCCCTCGTCAGTTAGTTTGTGTCCCATAAATGTTAGTGAATCAGACTTGAATTGCATTTTCTTTGCTGACAATCGCAGATCTTGGTCTTTACATTTAGTCCGAAAACACTAATATCATCTGCTATACTACTTATAACTCCGTCCTATTTTTCTAGAAACTCCTGCTGTCTTCTTTGATACTCTTCACGACCAGATGAAATTCGTTTATAACGATAACGTTCATTTGGGCTTTGAAAAGTTGTTAGCAACGACGATTCGTTGTTCAATTCGATATTGTGAAACGCTTCTGAAACGTCCTCTACTGTGAATACTTTTGCACTTGTTCTAAGAAAAGGTAAATTTTCTTCAATGGTTGGCACAGGTTGGACATGTCTCCTTATTGCTTTATTTACAGTTCGACTCGGATCTATACGAATTCTTCTATCTGGTTTTTCTCTCACAAGCGTGTTGGATATAGCCACTCTGTGGTCTGTGCTACTTGAGCTATCGTATCTTCCTCGCATAACCTTTCCAGTTTCTTGTTTACCCTTCCCAGATTTGCCACAGAGATCTGTGTCCGTGAGGCTTAACTTGTACTGGTTTAACATTCGGGTCAACTTTGATATGGAATTAATCACCAAGAAGTTTCCCACTTCCTGGGTTAAACACATCCTCATAATGCGTGAGAATACCAATGAGCAAATTTACGGCTGTGCCCACAGCTCCCAATGGTAATTTAATCATGGGTAGTTTGGTTTTTTAGAGCAGTGAACATAGTAGAATTGCATTACCGTATCTAAAAAATAACATTCTTGGTCCAAAATGTTAAATTCTGCTAATGTGCCATTTTCATGAAATACATGTATAGTTCTACATTTTGGATGTGGATAATTGAAAATCCTACATTTGAAATATGCTTCGATGGAGTGGTCTTTTGGAGTGTCAATATATTGTTACTGCAGTAAATTGCACATTTTCATTATTATATCATAGGCACACAGTTAGTGGAAGATTAAACAGAAGACTAGTTACGTCGCTGTTAGGACAGACACAAACTTTGGATATAGATATATATATAATGTTTGGAGAACATTCTGAAAGACTCAATAATGAGATTAAAAATAGCAATCAGTTGCTAGCGCAGGAAAATGTCACGCTACAACAGCAATTGCGGGAAAGGGAAGAGTGCATAAAAGAACTGAAAATAGAATGTGAAAGGCTTAAAATAAAGAATAGGAAAAGTTTCGAAGAAAATTTGTTGTTGAAAAACGAACTACAGCATTGGAAAGAAAGGCATGGGAAGGTGGAAAAAGATTACAATGACACATTGGTTGAGCTTGGACGACTTTCTGTTGAGAGCGATTCCAAAACAAACAAAGCGATAGAAAGCGAAAAATTTCAGAAAGTATTTCCCCAAAAGGGATTGGCATTGTTAGTTACAAATATGGAAGGCAATATTTCGCCTGATTTTAACCCCAGGTCAAACATAAACTCTGACGTTCAGCCCAACACTGTTCAGTCCGAGGATGAAAAGAAACCGTTGCCTCCTTTGTCTTTGCCGCCGTCTCCATCAGGAGAGCAATCTGTAGGCGCAGGTGCAGAATTGTTGGAGTTGGGTGCATGTCAGAACCAAGGTAGTCATGTAAGACTAAAAAATGTTTCGAATGCCGCGAATGAATGCACTGATGTTTCACCTGACTCAACGCCATTCCCCACGCAGGTATACGAAAGAAGTAATGCAGAGCCCTTGGGTCTCATAAATGAACCTTCCGCTTCAGTTAGTGCCCATGTCTACAACGCTTACAAACTACTATTAATAACGATATCTGATAGGTTGCTATACAGTGATATTATCAAGCTTAAAGAATGGGCAAACGAAAAATTTGCAGTCGAAAATAATCTAAGTCCAGCTAAAGTTATTTTACAATTGGACCAGAAAGGTGCTATCAATGCATCGGATTTAAGTCAGCTCCGTGTATTCTTTGAGTCAATTACAAGATTTGACCTAGTATACCTTATTGATGAATTTTATAATGGTGACTACGATAAGTTGAGAATGTTGATCAATCAACATGAGCCGACAAACCGCATTAGTCACCAACGAGTGGCCAATTTAAATCGAGTACACTCATCTAGAGTTCTCTCACCACACAATAACACTCCAAGATCTCCACTAAGGTCCAACACCGTTAACCGGGATATTGGCAATGTTCAAGTATTTGAACGACCTAGTACAACTGACGAGAGCAATGGCGTATCCATTGCCAGGAATCGCGACCGCGCGGAAAATGTTCACTCAAATGTTTCCAGCACAAGCAATTCTATTGTAAATGGCAATACATTTTCAACGCATGAAAATTCAGAAGATGTTCTTGCGTGTCCTCCAGTTAATAACTCAAGAGGTTGGTAAACAAACTATTTTATTATTCCATTGTTTAATTTAAACAATTTCGTTAATTTAAATCAATACGTTTTCCCGATATATTATGCTATTTCCGAATCTGTGCTACTTTCAAGAAACACATTTTCCACTATTATCTAACATATTTTTGTTGTAAAAATTATTTCTTCAAAAACTTTTTCCCAACTTACGTTTATAATTTGCCCGTTTATAATTTAACTTCATTTCTACTGGGAGCTAGCCCCTGACGCCGCTCCATCCCCGCCTCATACTCTTATGAAGTTATGTTACTACTTTTACCCCACCTTTCCTCTACTTCTGAGACGACATGAATAGAGAATAAACAATCAACAAATTAATAAATATTAATTAAATGCCATTTATCAATTTAACCAAGGAAACCCAGGTGGTGAGAACAGGGTAAGCACAAATGATGCTCCAGTTACTACAAGAAAAATCAACGGAAAGAAGATGTCGAACTCAGAAAAACCTTCATGTCTGCAAAGACACCCTGAATCGAAAGAGTCGTTATCTCAAAGACCTTCAGAATCGAAACAGCCGTCATCTCATGATGCCCAGAATCGTCTTGCACAACACAATGGTCTTTCTCAACGCCATTCGGATGACCACCTTCATGTGCTGAGGAACGGCGATATACAAGACAATTGGCTATGCAATCATTACAAAAGAAGGTGCCTGGTGAAATTTGATTGCTGCAGCAAATACTGGCCATGCCACCGTTGTCATAACAACGATAGCACGTGTGGGCGTAAGAAACTGAAATCACGTGACACGACAATGGTCAAGTGTGTCGAATGCGGGAAAGAACAACAGGTATAACGTAAAATATGTTAAAGTGGTCTGCACATCTTTGTGACTCTTTCAGTACAGCTCTCTACAAAGAGATCATTAAATCAAGGGAAATGTAGGACTTAAATTGCGATGCATGCAGACATAATACACCTTCTTTTCTTTTTCAACATACTTTTAAAGAAACGTTAAAATTCCATGAGATATATTTGAAGACGTAAAAACTTAAAAATCTAAAAATATACATTATAAAATTTTTCAGTTTTTATGCCATATTGAAACGTTTCATATTTTTAGATTCAAAACTAAGCTTTTCAATAAATAACATGAAATTTATTGAAAAGTGGTTGAAAGAAAAAGGAAGACATATCATGTCAGCATCGACAATTAGTTAACAGACTCTTTCCTTGCTTCAATTGAGAACAGTAGTGAGAAGTGTAGCTAGGATTGAATTCGTCTATGTTTGGAAAATAATTCCTGCGTTTGGAGAATAATTCCTGTAACTTCTATTGCTAAGAAATATTTAATCCATTATTTTTGGATTTCATTTTTTCGTTCAGCAAAAATGGAGAACTATATTTCAGTGTTTGAGGATAATATATTAATTTCTACTCTTAGACGACGATTTCATAAGTTTTCTTCGTTTTTCTTTCTTTCTAGTTTGGGGAAAATGGTCAATTTTGTGTTTCATGTAACACTCAATTCGCTAATTTCTACTGTGGTCTGTGTAAACATCTTACTGGAAATGATGATCACCCTTATCATTGCGATAAATGTGGCATTTGCAGGTGAGAATTTGACGTAAATTTAAACATCTTTATAAGGAAATGTTCGATTATTTCAACTGTACAATCTTTGTCTTATCAGATTGATTGAGGTACGTTTAATTTCTAGGATTCATGGAGATCGCTCGTTTCATTGTGATGTATGTGGTATTTGTCTTGATGTTCAACTTCGTGGAAATCATAAATGTCGTCCTGATTCAGCCCATGATGAATGTGGCATCTGTTTGGAGGTGAATGCATATGATGTTCTAATGTATCGGGTTATTGAATGATTGCATGATCAAACTGCGTGACAAATATTAGAAGAACTTCGACCTATTCGCTAACTTCTAGACGATTTGTCCTCGCTCGAACAGACTTGTTAATGTTAACTTGTTAGGTCAGTTTAACCCAGTAATCCCTTGAGTGTCCTTGCAAAATGCATTCTAGACACACTTAATTTGTTTTTATTTTCTTTAGGACGCATTTACAGGCTGCCAAATTCTCCCGTGCTCCCACAAGGTTCACAAAGAATGCGCTAATCGAATGATTCGGAACGGAATGTAAGTCCATGTATCGTTTAAAATATTTACATACATAAATTCCACACGACACTTTGCCCCAGTAAATGGCGATTGGAGATATATTAGAAAGTAGTGCTGTTTACCACCAAACTCAAGTAGACTGAGAGTTTAGTCATCAGATTTCCTTAAGCATTTTCATTGAACTTTCATATTGCGTAATGAAATGACTTCGTGAAATGCAGCAAGCTCATGCGATATGAAATACGAATACATGGAGTATCTAATAACGACGAGTCATGTATGTCTGCAGATTGTACTATTACGCTACCCCACTTCGTGTGTTGTTGAGCACTCGGCGGAGTTGTTAATGGGTCATGTCTATTATTGTCTATTAGTGATAGTGCAAAAATCACTTCCTTTGTGGTTGTTTGAGCACTCTGACACTACAGTATTAACAAGTCTCGGACAGCCCATTACGAGGTGTGCCATTACACTCTGCGCATGTCTGGATGCGTTGTTGTTGTCGTGTTGACCACATGCCTTGGTGAGAGCAAGCTCATGTGATATAAATATGAATGAATCGCGTCATAGACGGATTTTGGGGGGGGGCAGGGGGTGCTATAACCACACCAAACAAAATGTCCATTCCTCCAAAAAAATTTTCAACCCCCCCCCCAATATTTAGCATAATAAAAAATAAGTAAATAGTCCACTCCAATGTTCAGAGTGTTGATGATACTAAATAAACGTAGGAATACACTACAGTGCAATACTAATCGCTCCTCGCTTGCATTCACTGGTAAATTGTAATGTTTTGAAATTCTATTATATCCCCTGAATAGAGTTTGCAGTGCCTTGTCATGCAAATAGCTTGCTTGCAAGGAACGTTTGGAATTTTACGAAAATTATTTTTAGTTTTAAATTCTTTCAGGAAATAGACTTGCCTAGATTTAATCTTTATGCCCCAAATATTATTTACATCGGAGTTGCATCATAAATTGTACTTGGATTGGACACAATGTCAATGACTTTATAAAAGTAAAAACATATTGTGTATTGGCCTATTGGGTTTACACTTTTACAGGTTCATTTAACTTTAACTCTCTCAAGTCTCAACAGACAATCAGACATGCCAAATCCATTGATATCACAACTTCAAAAAACTTTTTTTCGAAGCCACTTTGTTTCCTGCTCTCTAGATTCCCCCTCGCGGCTCTAGTGCTCCACCCCAAGAATATAGACCTTACAGGGTTTGGTGACACTTTGTGTTGCTTCAGTCACCTGCTCACGGCTCACCCCCCTAAAATTTCTGGCACCACCCCAGTAAACAACACTTCAACTAGTATTTTTGGGATTGTTTGCAACAATTATATATAGCGGAAAAGAGGTTAAAGTAGAATACAATAGAAATATGCTAGTCCAAGCACGCAAATACAATACATAACATATCTTTCATAATTTTTAGACCATCAGAAATTCATCAAAGTGAAGAAATTTATATTGGAGTTTCTATAAATGTGTTTTTTCTTCTCTCCTTTTATCCAGAACTCGCTGTCCAATATGCCGAGAAAGTTTCGCCCACAAACTTGAGAGACGCCCTGTTGGAAGGAGCAAAAGATAACCAAACTCATGGAAATTTATTATTAAAAATTCCAGGAGAATTGCTACCAATAAATGTATAGGGATGTTCAGATTTTGACATCCGCAACTCCTATACCCGTTACCGGTTTTTCTGCCGTCGTCACAGCAAGGGCCTTCCAGCGTCGTGGATTCCATTCTCTCGTCGCCCACTCATGTGAATCATCATGTGGAGAGAGTCGTTCAACGCTCGGACGAAGTCGTCGGTTTTCTCTTGCTACTCCGATATCGCCTCCAACCGGTAAATTGACAGTGTGCGTTATAGCATAAAAGTAGTAACGCAATTGATAAATATGTATAATTAGGTAAGCGTATAATACTTGATGTAAAGTGCATTTGATGATAGCCATATGATTCTGGCCCAACGACCATAACAATTCGAACACTTTGACAACTATAGAATGTGCAATCAAAGAGATCGGCTTAGTTTTTCCCCAGCCGAGTATAGCCTTAATTATTAAATAGCAATGAGCAAAACAATTTAACTAAGCCCACCCTTAAATTGGACCCGCCCTTTCAGAAAGGCGAAAGATACCAGCGTTCCATTTTTCTGTTCCCAAATAGGCAAATAATTCTGTGTTACAATACTCAATAGCTATTCAAATGGTGCAATTAAATGCAGAACTGTCTTTCTTTGCATGGAACTTCCCATTCATACTGCAGTATCTTTCTCATAATTAGAGAACTTTAGTTTGACATTTCCGGCAAACCGCTAACGATAATTGTGATTTAACTACGCTCTCGTAGAAATTGCACTGATTTTGTTACATACTAAACATCCTGCACAAAATCGTGACATTTAACAATAATCTCAGAAAGTTCGTTAGTCACTACTAACGTATTAGGGGGGACACTTTACGAAAAATTGGGGCCTCGTGCCAAAGGCACGGAAAAATTTTTAAATTCGAATCCCGGAAATGACATTTGCAGCATTCTGAGAACACATTTTCTAAAAAACTAGGTTTTCAAAACACTGTTTTAATGGTGCGTTTTTTTATATATCACATGCTAAGTATAGAAAACCAACATTTCCGAGAAAATATTTACATGATTATTTACATTTGTGAATGGAATTTGCAAGGTGCTTTAATTTAATTAACACGCCAATGACAATGTAAAAATTTATTCGCTAAGTGATGATGTTAATTGAATTATCCATTGTTTTTGAGCATAATATTTAATACGCATTCAAATATTATTTTGCAGCAGGGAATTTCACCGCTAAACAATGGTATAAGCTTCTGAAACAACAAAAAATCAACAATGATATTTAAAGAAGTGCCTGTTGCAAAAGGTTACCCCCTAGTATCCGTCAAAAAGAGTGTATAAAATGCGTATGTTGTGACATGTACAGTACAGAAACATATATTATTATATTATGACGACAATTACGTTATATGAGTGTGATTTGTGTTATTTGGTACAAGATTTTTACAATCTTTCAAAATTATGGGGAGGAGGGGCTCGGACTCCCTAGTGTCGTCACTGATTAGTCTTTGATAAAAGTTTCAAGAATTTTATTTCGATTTTTACGTGTTGTATCATAAATATGTATTTCTTGAACGATAGATTATTTGAAAACGGTGGTTTTTCGTAATTGTTTGTCACAAAAGTCAAATAATGGAAACAAGTTTGCAATAATGGACAAATCATGCGGCTAGTTCTATGAGACGCGGGCGGAGGACGGGAAACTAAAGTCTAATTTGGAGTGGCCTTACTTGTATTAAGAAAAAAACTATTCTTTAGTCCTTCTGCAGCCGTCGTCGTCATCGATGGCGGCGTCAGCGAGTCAATATGATTCTCGTCGTCATAGTAATATGGCGCAAACGCGTCCAAATTTTTTTCATATTGACTCTTTGACGTCATTTTGCTATTATGAATGTGAAAAATCCAGATTTGGTTAGCCATCGAGTTGATATGACAATTTCACAGTTGGCTGTTAGCCAATCAGAAACCAGGAATTTTTTAAATAAATAATAAATTATAAATATTGACTTATTAAGAAATTAAAATATATTTGTAAAGCGCATGATTTTCTGCTCTTGGGAATTTAAAGTAGCTTCTTAAGCCTGTTTACACCTGCAATTTTCACTGCGATTTCTACGGCGATTTTTTGAAATCTCCAATGTAAACACCCTGCGATTTTGACTGCAACTTTGGTGCAACAACACTGCAATTGCAGCGATTTTTTCAATTTATTGGCTTGTAAACTGAGTTTAATTTTCAATACATGACTCAAGTTTACAAGCAATACAAAGATTTTGTTTTAATTAAGTTGTTTACGGCTGTTTTCTTACAAGTGATTGGCTGTAGAAAAAAAGAAGTGATTGGCTGTAGCCAATTTCGTCTCCGTAAGCGCATGTGTACAGTACTTACTGATTTTGACTTCGCGTTTTACAAATTTTTGACTCCGCGTTTTACAAATCCACTCCGCGTTTTACAAATTTTGACTTCGCATTTTACAAATTTTGACTCCGCGTTTTACAAATCCACTCCGCGTTTTACAAATTTTGACTTCGCATTTTACAAATTTTGACTCCGCGTTTTACAAATTTTGACTCCGCGTTTTACAAATTTTGACTCCGCGTTTTACAAATCCACTCCGCGTTTTACAAATTTTGACTTCGCATTTTACAAATTTTGACTCCGCGTTTTACAAATCCACTCCGCGTTTTACAAATTTTGACTTCGCATTTTACAAATTTTGACTCCGCGTTTTACAAATTTTGACTCCGCGTTTTACAAATTTTGACTCCGCGTTTTACAAATCCACTCCGCGTTTTACAAATTTTGACTTCGCATTTTACAAATTTTGACTCCGCGTTTTACAAATCCACTCCGCGTTTTACAAATTTTGACTTCGCATTTTACAAATTTTGACTCCGCGTTTTACAAATTTTGACTCCGCGTTTTACAAATTTTGACTCCGCGTTTTACAAATCCACTCCGCGTTTTACAAATTTTGACTTCGCATTTTACAAATTTTGACTCCGCGTTTTACAAATCCACTCCGCGTTTTACAAATTTTGACTTCGCATTTTACAAATTTTGACTCCGCGTTTTACAAATTTTGACTCCGCGTTTTACAAATTTTGACTCCGCGTTTTACAAATCCACTCCGCGTTTTACAAATTTTGACTTCGCATTTTACAAATTTTGACTCCGCGTTTTACAAATCCACTCCGCGTTTTACAAATTTTGAATCCGCGTTTTACAAATTTTGACTCCGCATTTTACAAATTTTGACTCCGCGATTTACAAATCCACTCCGCGTTTTACAACATGCCAGATATTTCGCAAGTCAGGAATATTGCGTCACATCTGCCGGATGTCGGGTATTTACGCACAGTTCGAATCTGGTTCAAGCACCAAATACCCCATTTTGAAAAGCGATTAACTTCTCGGTTTGAGGGGTCGTTTTTGATTTCTTGGTATTATTTGAAAGAATAACTTCTCTTCTATGTACTGGTACGATTTCTTTCGACTTTTTCTATTTAAACTATAACGACCACATCATATATTAATTAAAGCCATTTTCCGGCCGTGTGCAGTGACCCGAAAATAGGTCAATTATATTCGCTCCCAAAAGTATAAAATTACCCAAATAAAATATTTATATATTAAATTTCAATACCCAGGAACATACTGTTAATAAATACCTTTGAAACTTTCGTAATTTTCAGCCAGAAAAAATTCGATGGAACTCTCAATTATTTCGTCGACCAGTGCGTAATTTACGATCTCGTTTGACTCAAAGGTCATAAATCGCTATAATGTTGACATTGACTAGAACTACTGTATCATGATTAGGAATATTAGGAGATTTCGTCTCGCTGAATCGAATGGTAGCATTTTTGTCTTCGTACCATATGCATGCACTGAACCGAAGATATGAACATTTCAAAGTCATAGATCACCAGTGACTGATATATGAAATACTATAAGAAATTTCACATTATCCAATAGACAGTTGCATGTTATACTAATTTTTGATCTAGACAAAAAAATGTAAATTCCCGTATTAGTAAAATTGTAAAATTTGGTTACGAAATGATGTAAAATACGGAAAATATAGCCTTGCAAAGTTTGCATGTTTTGTAGGCCTATATGTTTGCACCATTTTTGAGCCGAAAATGGTAACAATTTCCGCGCGTAAAACAAATATACAAAATTTGCAAATTTTACAAGGCTATATTTTCCAAGCTTTATATCATTTCGCAACCAAATTTTGAAATTTTACTAATTTCATGATGTTCTTTTTAGCTACGGCGTTTGATTCCCCTCTCTTTACTTAGATTAAAATTTTATAGTCTAAGATGCAAATTGTCCAACATTTGGGGAATCCCCTCCCCCCACACGAATATATATTTACCTCATTTATCATATTACAATAATGAAAATTTAACATTATAAACTATCAGATATACTTTGTGAATCGGTTTTTTTTAAAGCTATCGTACTCAGATCAGGCAGAGGGTATCTAAAGTGCATTTCCCCCAAATTATTGAATTATATTTTTAAGAAATATATTGTAAACCGTCAGCATATGCAGTGGGGAATCCCATATCCTTGTGGGGAAGACCCTATAGAAAGCTGATGAAATACTGACATATACAGCCCAGTGAACTGATATAGCCTAGTGTATACAGACAACAACTGGTGTCTTAATTTAGTGAAAGCAGCTCGTTTAAGAGGAAGAAAGGTCAGGGAATTCCAAGTCATATAGACATATAAATTGAATCAAGGTAAGCAAATTATATATCGTCAAGGCTGGAAGTAAAATACTCGATCAATGACAATGGACAATGTATCTGTACTCAGACAGTTGGAATAGTTAAAGTTAAAGTTAGTATAGTAATAAAGCTATAACAGTTAAAGTAATACAGTGAGGCAAACACCCTCATATTCTATAGTGACTGAAGTTTTTAGAAATTCGGTTAAATAATTTAATTCCTATAACTTTAACGGATAGAGAGAATGTCTGTAAAGGCGTTCGAATCGTTTGGTCGAACGTTGGTAAATTTGAATTTCGAAAGAAATCCGACACTTTACAATAATTGCATGGAAAGGTTCGATTTTGAACTTTGTGTATAGATTTGCCCTTTTCACTTTTAACACTAGTATTTTGGTGTTAATACTTTAGTAACTCACGGTTTATTGTTAGTATTTAGAACTGAATGTCGAAATATCACTGTAGGTATATAAAACGTCGCGTGCACTTGTTCATCATTATTATTTATTATATATTATTTAT